TAGGACTTACACTTTGCGACGAGTTACTCTGGTTTATATCAGACTAAAATTTTAAGGTATCGGAATAATTTGTGTATTTTTTCCTCAGTGTTGTTTGTAAATTTAAATTTGCATTTAAATTTAAATTTGTATTTAAAAGCTGTGCTCCCCAACCCGACCTTTTCTAGCAGTGCAGCTTTGTGTATGGCTCAGCATGCCTTTTCCCTTTCCCTCACCTTCTGGGTTCCATGGGTTACATCCCCCGTGGGTAAATAAATCCCTTACCTTGTCATAAGGGTAATTCTTGCTTCTGCCTCTGCTCAGATGTCTTCTGCTGTTTTCCCAGAACTCACAATCGGTCTCTCTCAAAACTTGGTATATAACCATAGCACTTCATTTGTGCTTTCCTGTTTGCTTTGTTGACGTCTTGAGGGCTCTCGTTCTGTCAGAGTGGTTTCACTGTTACTTAATGTTGTTTGAAAAAAATCTGTCACTCACAGTAATAGAAGTGATCCCTTTCTTGGGCACTGAATAGTGTGTGTTGCTGTATTTTTATTTCTGATATAACGTGTTCAGAAATGCTTAGCATATAGTTATGGGATTTTAGTGGAATAGGGATGTCTGGTTTTGAAGCTGGGCAGTTTTATTTCCAATTACATTATCATAATGATGCTCTGGTTGTTGCAGTCAAATAGGCAGTGGCATTTCAATGTCTGAATCGTGCCCTGAATCCAACCTCCAAGTGACTGTCTGCACCATTCTTTACCTTCTTTAGGAAGGTAGAGATTTTGTTTGCTTTTTTAAGGAAGTACTCTGAAATTTCCACCAGCAGAATTATTCCGATAAATGTGTGTTAAGTTTAGGTTTTTCAGAATGAAGTCATGAAAGGATTCAGTTACAATTTAATATTGTCTGCTATTTAAAGAGAGAATGATACTCTCTCACGAGTGTGAGATGAGTGCAGTCTGTCTGCTTCACGCAGCATCTGCAGCATCAGCAGGCGCTACCAAAGACCTAGGAAATTACTTCAGCTGAAAATATCAGCCATTAGAAAAGTGCTAACCTTTGTTATGAGTATCTGACTTAATTCTCAGTTCTCTGTAAACCTTGTTACTTCGGAACAAAATAGTTCAGTGCCTCTTGCGGGTGGTCCAACGTTTGCCAGGCTGGAGATGGGATCTCAGGTTTTGTCCTCCCCACCCACGAGAAGGTGGCTGAAGCATTGCAGCAGCGGTTCTGTGCCAGGTGCTCAGATGCCCAGGAGGAATTGTTTCACCTGTCCTTCTCCCCAACAGCTTTTTGAGCTGTTCACAAGCCCAGGAAAAAAAAAAATAAATAGAAAAATTGGGCTGTTTGGCAGTTGCGTTTTTGCCAGGCTGCTGTTGCCTGCGTTCTCCAAGGGATGGTGGATGGATGGAAGGTGTCTGAAGTCTGCTTCCTGAGCCATGCCTGTCTTTAGCTTGGTACCTATAGTTGTCTATATTTTGAGCTTCAGACATTTGATCATCAAGAGTCAACAAAACAAACACAAAAGGAAGCAATTATTCACTTGTGATGAGACCAGTAATTTTTCTCTGAGATGACTTTCTAAATGTGCTCTTTTAGAATTGCTAGGAGATACACATAGATAGTGAGAGAGCAAAGCAGCTTCCTCAGCTCTACAGGAAACTTCTGGGTGTTTCTGTTTTTCCCATCTTATTTTTAGTGTCTTACCAGCTTTTAAGTCCTTCTCTCTCCTCTCCCAATGTAATAGTAAACAGATTTAATGATTAATCGCATCTTCATCTCCATACATAAAGCTGTATAACTATCCTAATTAAACATGCACATGGTAAAATTGCAAGCTAGAAAGAGCTGTCCGGGCTTGGATGATAGCAATTAAATGATTTATATTTACAGGTGTCAATATTTATCTTATGCCTACCGTCTGTCCTAGCTTGTCATCTATGGTTGAGCGTGTAGTTCCTCGGGTTTAGTTAGCATTCCAGCTGCTTCTCTCTGGACGCTGTGTTCTTGGCTGAGGAGAGTATTGCTTTTCATAAGATGATACAGCAAGGCCATATTCTAACTCTTACGAATGCTGTTTGTCTTTCTGTGTTCACCTGAGGATTTTTTTCCTGCTTAAGTTTCAGAAATGCGAGTTTTCAAGGTGCTTAAAATAAATGAGTCGGTGTCTCAGCCTGCCCCCAATTGTTCTCAAGCAGGGAGCTCTTGCTAAAATTATTTAGGGTGATGCCCCTGACAAAAATACGGATGAACCAAGTCCCAGTTTCCACTGAGCTCCAGTATGTTAAACAGGCACAATTTATTTTTCTTTTCTGCAGTTCTCCTTGGCTCTGGCAGGGTCAGAAGCAGCAGTAGCACTTTGGCTGTTCCCAGTTGAGTCATTTGGAATGCAAATCACTTTGCAGTGATGCCAGAGGTTCCCTTTGTGCTGGGCTTTATATAAAACGCGTGACAGATTGTCAGCTTTGTCACATTCCCCGGGCAGCAGGGAATAGGTAGAGGCTTCAGCTTTGGATACAGACAGAACCGGGCTGGTATCAAAGATCTTCGTTGGCTTTGCCTTGCAGATAACTGCAAATTATGTCAGAATTCCACGTCGAGAGCTTCTGACTGATATTTCGATACTAACATAATTCCTCAGTGCAAATAAATACCGGCTAGGGAGGCTTAGCAGAACACGTGCCCTGGGCAGTACAGTCCCCCCCACATCCTTCCCTGCCTTACTTCAGTATCCGAACTAGATACGAAGAACAGAAGTGAAGCCTCCGGAGGGTATCAAGCAGTATGAATTGTCTGCTCCTGATGGATCTCACAGGGTTTTGGGGTTGCAGGAGCACACGCTGCACCTAAATACAGACTCCTGCAGGAAAGGTGGCTCTCATCCTGTAATTAAGTGTGGCAAGTCTGGGCAGGGACTCTCTTCCCAGCTGGCAAATAGGAATCTGAGTATATTTCCTCTGAAAATAAAGCAAGTGGTAGATTTTTACTCTTGTTTCTGAGCTTTGCCTATTTAATATCTTGGTTGGTTTGCGTGAGACCAAACTCAGGGTGTCTTGGGCTGAAGTGTCTCTGGAGTAAAGTGGACCTTGTGAATCTGTGGTGTACTAGTGATTAAATAAGTTGTATCCATGAGTTGTGTTGGGTTTTGGTTGCTATTCAAAGCTTTTGGGTTACTGTGACACTTGTTTTAAAAATATTCAGAAGGAAGTGCTGAGCGTTCTCTTCCTACTTAGCCCCATGTTACTAGGACAAGGCATGAACGTCTTCACCATTTTGATTTTAAAGAAAGAAAAGTTGAGATTTCTTGGGGAAGGCAATTTTGGGGCAGTGGAATATTTTTTAAATTATTGTGCAAATGTTAACTTCTGAGATGATCAGTTTTGATTCTGAGTAGTTCTGTCAGCACAATCTGTGACACCAACGTTAGGGAACTTGTTCTGAAAACTGAGGATAATGACTGTAAAAGGTACGGTTTGGCATGGTGAATGGAAAGAGTAATGAGATAACATCTAATTGAGTTGTGTAACAGTCTTAAAGCCCCCATTTTGGTAAATTATGTAGCTGTCTGGGTCTGTCACCTCGGTTTCAAAGATGCTGTTCTTTTGGGTCTTCTACATCATTTTGTGGATACAATAACTTGTGAAAAATCAGATTTTTGATTAAAAGACTTTGAACAAATTCCTTGTGTTAAAAGAGGACCTCATGTTCTCTCTTTGCTGTCACGCCAGGTCCTCTGTAACTTAAATCCACTCTAAATCCAGAATCCTGGTGCTGAAGTTGTTTGCGTTACACGGTTCCTCTCTGAGGGAATGGGAATTGGAGCAGGCAGATGGAGCAAACAGATGAGCAGACTTTGCAAGCATTTTGAAAATAGGTCTTGAAAGGGGTTTTAGCATAGGAAGCAAATAGATCTGGATGAATAAGAACAGCGCTCATAAGACTTTTTTTCTTTCTGGCTTTGGTTTTATAAACTTTGCTTTCTTTGAGCTTAGATCAGAATTGCCCTGACTTCAAGATGCTAGCGCTCATAAGGCTTTTTTTTTTCTTTCTGGCTTTGGTTTTCCTATAAACTTTGCTTTCTTTGAGCTTAGATCAGAATTGCCCTGACTTCAAGATGCTCTTTTTAATGGGACCTCTGCTTTCAAAACATAGGTGCGCTCTCTGCTCTGCGGGTGATTTTGCTCTTTTTTAGCAAGTCTTGTGGTTTGTTGCTGTTGTTACCCTTGTACCGATAGTTTTCCCTTTGGGACAGGAGGCAAGACACCAGATGAGCTACACATTCAGCATGGAGCCAATGAAGCCAACAGTCTCTTTGTGATCTTATCAGGCGTGCCCTTGTGTGGGTGATAAAATCAGCAGTCAAACTTCTGCCGAGTTCTGTTTTTTTGTTTGTTTGTTTTTTTTAATTTCCCTTCTACTTTGCAGCCAGACTTACACGCTTTGCTTTCACTTCTGTCTGAAGTGATGGGGGTAGGAGCCTGGCTTTGTTGCTTCTGTCCCAGAATCGTGATTTGCAGGTCCTTGGCAACCTTGGTGGCATGTGAAAGCCACACAACCACACAGGGGGACTTGTATGACTCAACTTGTGCATGGGTCTTTATACTAAGACCACTCTGGCAATATCACTGAACTCGTCTTCTGATGTTTTTTTTTCTGAGAGTTTACTTGTTTAACTATTCACAGCTTCAAATCTGGAATAAATGTACTTTTGAAAGCTGGTTCAGACTGCACAGGGTAATTATAATGTGGGTAGTACTGTGTAACTGCTGGTGGAGACCTGCTGCTGTGAGTGGAGCTGCAGACAGTTTGCCTGTTAATGCCCTCATTTGAAAAATCTGGGTTTGAAGGACAAGCCATGAGTTGGGTTTGGGTGTCCAGTAGCATGTTCCATGTGCCATGAGTGACTTAGATTAAAATCTCTGAAGTTGGCAAACGGCTTTGCATTTGGAAAATCTGGTGAGCAGCATGCTGTGTTAATTTTAAATGTAAATTAATTTTTTTTTCTCTTTTTATAGGAACTGGAGACATTGTTGCTGTCATGATTACAGAATCAAAGGTCAAGGAGATCCTGAATTACTTGGAAAAGAATATCTCTGTCCTGATGGCAATAGCAGTGGGATCCCGTGTTCCTCCAAAAAACTTCAGTCGGGGCTCTCTAGTCTTTGTGTCAATATCATTCATTGTTTTGATGATAATTTCTTCAGCATGGTTAATATTTTACTTCATCCAGAAGATCAGGTACACAAGTGCACGTGACAGGAATCAGGTAAGGGGACTCCTCTTTTGTTTTTAATTCTAGTATGTTTTGGAGGTGATATTTCTATATACAGTAGTCAATAGAGAACTAATAATTTCTAAGGAATGTCCATCAAACTAGTTTTCAGCACTTCTTTGTTCCAAGGCAGAGCATGTCACCAGGCAAGGATTTTTATATAGAAAAGTGTTTTCTTGAGCAGCACCAGTACAAGACCTTATTACATGACAGGAGAGAATGGAACTGGAGCAAAATATTTGGGTTTTGATGAGTGTAAGCCCAAGAGGAAGATAGAATCTACATTGGCTGAATAATACATACTGTATGTTGGGAATGGGGAGGAAAGTTAAGTTGTGAAATAACTTGTGTCATGCAGGGGAACACAGAGCTAAGGTTATGAATTCTGTCCATGTTCTTAAGCATAACTTCAGTAATAGTTAAAGTAATTTAGAAGTTGTATAAAAGTATTTCCAAACTATAATCTGTCATGAATGTTAGGGTAAGAAAAATAAGGTGTGGATCTTCTTAGTGATCTGTGTTAACTTTCATCTCTATTCAAAATCTCACTTGGTATGGAATGTCTGATTCTCCTGGTCATATATTTTTAAGTAAAATTTTGTCCAATGTGCCTTTCTTACATTCTTTTTCAACTCTTAATTTGTTTAAGAACAGAAGTAAGTATGGCCATACCCAGAGATCTTGAATCAAGTCATCAACTCAAATATGAGTTGATGACTTTAGAAGTAAATGTTTTACTAGTGTGGACTTAATGACCCACTGCCTCCATGGTGTGCCTTGGCTTTTATTGGGAAGGGTCAGTAAACCTCAGGAAATCTGCTGTGCTCTCTTTGCCTTTGTATCCCTCTGTCAAATCTGCCTTACAGATTTGCTGACCTCTAGTCCCTGTCTCCCCTTTCCCCTGAATCACAGCTCCTGTACAGGAGCTGGCTGTGAGGCAGCGCTTTGGTGTTTTGTCAAACATGAAACAAATATGAACTTATAAAGCCTCAGTTGTGACAAAGGATTTCCGTTTTATTTTCTATAAATAGCGTCTGATGCTGCAGGTCCCATGGGCATCCTGTAGATTTTCCTAAGGATGTCATTCTTAAATGACCACACTGTAACCGGTACTTAGTGTGGTCCCTTGGGACGGGGAAAGTTTAAATATAACTGTTACTCAATGAGTGTCTGTGGAGCACTAAATTGTCTGCTGCATCCCCTACATGGTTCTAGGCTTCTTCCAAATGTCCGTGTTTCAAAACAGTTGCTCCGTGGGGAAAGGGCTCTTATGACCTTTTTTCTTTCTTTAGATTTTTACAAAGGTCAGGAGAAACTTGATGAAAATTTTATATGGTTTAAAAAGCTGAGCTTATTAAACTTTAATAAGAAGGTGGCGACAGCTACAGCGTGTTTTTAAAAAGCTTTGAGAGCTTTCACAGAGAGACGGCTGTACTGTTAGTGATGAAATAACTTGTTTTAGGCTATGATCTTGTTTTTAAGCTATGTCGAGGCACACTGGTTTGTTTGGTGTTTTTTTTAAATCAAAAACATGCTGTGTTTTGTAGATAGTGCAAGTAGATACTGGTATTTCACACATTACTCTTGCACGCTTCCGCCAGAGGTATGAAACTCTTTTGCATGTGGTCGTGGCCTTTTCCATCGAGACAGTTCTGGGTTTTAAAAGCAAGCATGTGCTGTGTGCCTGTGTCCTAACTTAGCAAAACAGCAAATCCTGAGCATTTCCAATGTCCGCATTAAAAAAATATTTGTTAAAATTAGAAAACGGAAGAAATGGATCTCTTAAATGGAAGAGATGAAAGTTATTATTTAGCAAATTTATTTACGTAAGATAAGATGTATACATTTTTGAAGAGTTTTGCTGAAATATTGTGCTTCCAATAGAAAATAATCTATCTTTAATATTTCTTGTAGCACATGTACAATCACATGCAGTACAACCAACTATAAATACTACCCACAATTACCTAGTCAGTAGTGTTGGGCATTTAAATTAAATGCCTTTTCAGCCTTGTTGCTCTCTTAGTAATCACAGTTCTGGTTATGCAGTGATTATCTACTCCAGCGGTGTACCAGTGTGTTCTGTACTCGGAACTTAACTCACGTTAAGTACTCAGGCCAATATGCTTATTCCAGGACATGTAAATTGGATTTGCTTAAATTGACCAATTTCTCACATGTTGAAATTAGGATGAGATTTCTGACTTCAGGAATTTTCATGTAATTTTCCCATCCCAGCTCTGTTTCTGATGCTGCCTTTCCTCCTTGGGTTTATACTTCAGTAGCTGGGACTAAGTATCTAACCTTTTGGGTTTTTTTTAAATCTAGGCTCTAAACTATATAAATTAGAGCTGCTGTTCAGTGGAAACCACACCAAAAAAAAAGTGCTTATGCAATTCTAGAATAACAGCAGTGCAGTTGGTTGTGGTGGACTTCTGAGGTCTTTGTGTTTCTCGAGTAAAAACAGCCGCCTTAGTTTTGGTTTGTATGCAGGGAAAGTGTGTGAAGCAGGGGGTGACACCTTCTGAAGGGTTGGGTTTTCAACTGTGTAGAAGGTGGGCACAGAACCCGCACCTTTCTTTCAAGCCATGCACTTAATAGGTGCAGTTGATGTTCTCAGAAACAGCCCGTCCCTTTCAAAGGAGAGTGCTCAGTATGAGATGGAGGCAAAGGATGAAATACACAAACTTCCCTTTTTCTAGTCAATATAAATCAGATCTGATGGTTCACGTTCCTGAGACAAGAAGATATGGGTTCTGTTCTACTGGGTGACCCCTCTCTGTGGGACCCCATGGACCAGCTGGCGAAGAGATGTTCTTCCTTGGCTGGGAACTGGCCGTGTCAGTAGGAATCAGCTCTTGAACTGCAGAAGGGGCTCCTTCACCCCACAGTGGTGGTCATAAAACAGCACAAACAGCAAAAATAACTTGGCCTCTGCATTGAGACTGAGGTTCAACTTCAAACCAGTTTTCGTTTCAGCTTTATTTAAGTCTGTATTGGCTTATTTAGATTCCGTGACCCATATTTTTTTTTTACTTTGTGAGAACCTGATGGTTCCAAGTAATAGCGAGAGAGAAACTGGGTTACTCTGAGAGGATCTCTTGGGTCTCAGAATAAGATCAGCCTGCCCAGGGAAGTAGTAATAATTCACACTTAAAAAGAGAAGAAGGGGTGTATCAGAACACACTGAATAAAAAGCAATATGAACAGAATATAATGGAAATCATGGGGAGGGCACGTTGCTTCAGCTTTTATCCTGTGGGCTGGGTTTGAGTTTTGTCACACAAATATTGGGTCACTTTTGTGGACTTTTATACAGTCCACAGGGTTTGTGCCCATGGTTATGAAGTCCATTTTTGGGTTCAACTGTTGGATTTCTTTCTTCCTGACAGATTTCTGACGGTGGGTTTTGCTGTGTACAGTTTTTTTCTTACTTGTTGGCCTACTGGCACGGCGTATATTGCAATGTTAGTATTGAGCCCAAATAAGTCATTATAAAGCACAGTAATGAAGCTTGATTATCAGGGTTAATTTGTGTTCTTTTCTTTGTCACTCTATTAGCGTCGTCTGGGAGATGCTGCCAAGAAAGCCATCGGTAAATTGACAACCAGGACAGTAAAGAAGGGTGATAAGGTATAATAATAAGATTTCAACATGGTAGACTTGAGCATCATGTTTACTTTTTGTTGGGGGAAACAATCTCAGTTTTTCCTTTCTCTTCTGGTTTTGACATTGCCTTCCTTATTGGAGGCTTTACTTTGCCCCATGGCACAGTATTTTGTGTAACTTTTACTATCAATGTATGCTGTAAGTTTCAAATAAGTTTTTGTTGTTGTTGTTTAAATTCTACTTGTGCTCTGTCTGGCAACTGTGACTGGGAGTGGGTTTGTGTGCTGGCTGGCGTTGCTGGTAGGAGTACACAGGGCTAGCATTGTTTATGTGGAATTTTATGAATTCAGTAAACTTAGAGTCATTCCATATGTAAGCTGTGTAAAGTGAAAATAAATATAAAAGACAGGTAATAAAGGACAATCTCTTATGAATATCCAGTAATCTGAGGGGGAGTATAAACAGGTATTTCATTAAAGGTAGTAAATGTTTCTCCAAGACTATTTCTTGCCAGTATACAAACTAAAACAGATGGTGTGCTAAGTCCTAAACTTCCACTTTTATGAGCAGTGCTGTTTTGTCTTTGATTCTTCAAGGGAAAAAACCAGTCACTTAATCTTGCTTAATTTTTGCTCTTTAATTTGCAAAAGGCAAGGGCATTCTGGCTATGATTTGATTTTTAAGAGAAGATTATTTCCTTGGGCCATTTTTGTGTGATTCCTTTTATCTTTGTGATCAACGCTATCAGCACTGGAAGATTGGGAAGTGATGGAAAAATTTGCTTCAAGAGAGAAGGCAGAAAAAAAAGTCTTTCTGCTCTTTGTCCCTCCCTGTGTAGTTTTATTTCAAGGCAGCCTTCTGCACTAAGTCTTTTCTGTGGATACGGGAGTACATATAGATAATGGGATTTTTTTCCATATTAAAAGAAAAGATGCTGTGGTCTTGACAGTGTAAATTCAAAACTGGCAAGTGACGTGCAGGTCGCAGTACAGACAGTGTTGGGCCACTCACTACAAGAAAGACATTGAGAGGCTGGAGCAAGTCCAGAGAAGATCAACGGAGCTGGTGAGGGGTCTGGAGAACAAGTCTTCCGAGGAGCGGCTGAGGGAGCTGGGGGTGTTCAGCCTGGAGAAAAGGAGGCTGAGGGAGACCACCTCTCTCTCTACAACTCCCTGAAAGGAGGGTGTAGCCAGGAGGAGGTCGGTCTCTCCTCCCAAGTCACAGGCGATGGGACAAGAAGAAACAGCCTGAAGTTGCGCCAGGGGAGGTTTAGGATGGATATTAGGAAAAATTTTTACAGTCAAAGGGTTATTAAGCATTGGAACAGGATGCTCGGGGAAGCAGTTGAGTCACCATCCCTGGAGGTGTTTAGAAGATGTGTAGTTGTGGTGCTGAGTGACATGGTTTAGTGGTGGACTTGGCGCAGTGTTGGGTTGGTGGTTGGACACGATGATCTTAAAGGTCTTTTCCAACCTAAATGATTCTATGACAGCATAAGATGCACATGCAGGTGAACAGGGTGTAGTAGAAAACCTGTCCCTCATCAGAGCAGCCCATCAGGATTCTCCACGTGCAGCACTGAGTGGTGCTGACCAGGGGGTAGCTGTTGTCTTGCTGTGGTTCCTGTCTTGGTGTGTTGCTAGTAGCTTGTTGGCGTCAAAAAGAGCAATGAACTTGAACTAAGAGAAGGCAGAGGCTTTTTTGTGTCACAGGCCCAAAGCATTTTAAATATATATTGCTGATGCCGTATCTACAGCCAAATGAGGTCAGCCCTTTTTCAGTGGGAATTTGAAATTCTTATGTTTGAAAATAAAAAATCATAACTTTTGGAAGACGGAGAGATGAGAGGAGCCAGTCAGTGATCCTCATCTTCATGTCTGCATAAGAAAGATGACAGTTCTGCAAGTAAGCAGACAAAGATATGTAACTACTCTGAAATAAGTAAAAATTGCTAGTTCTGGCTATCTAAAAGGGAATCCCGGAATTCTTATCCTACCAAAAAACACCCCTGAATAAAAGTTTTAGCTTAAATCCAAAGTAAATCCTCTAGGAAAATCACCACCATATTTTATAGTGATTAAACCAAATACTAGAATCATTTTAGGCTCTAGCTTATGTTTCAAATGGTCAGTGACCAGCTCTAAATGAGGGGAGAGTTTTCTATGGATGAGATACTTTTCTTTCTCAGGTCATGTTGAAATGTAATAACCCAGACATTGGTTTTGTAGCTTCTGAGTAACAGCTGCTTGGCACGATGCAGTTCATGTACTAGTCACAGCTGCTTTTACATTTGTTGTAGCCTCGACTCAACTTGAATTTTGTTTCTGTTCATTTTAGGAAACAGACCCAGACTTTGATCATTGTGCTGTCTGCATTGAGAGTTACAAGCAGAACGACGTTGTTCGCATTTTACCATGCAAGTAAGCTAATAAATTTGCTTTGTTTGGAAACTATTCTTTCTTTGTGCTCCTTTGCTTTGTTTCATGTAATACGTGCATTGTAATTTACAGACACGTTTGTTAAATGTTTCCAGTCGTAATAACAGCCGCTTTATTTTAGGCTGTGAGACCAGAGGGTGTGAAGGTGGGTGCTGGCACTGTTGTGATAGTAGAGATTAAACAAAAGATTCAGATCTTTAAGATGGGCAGTTTGGGCATGTCAGCAGTGGAGCTGTTAGGATTGTAAGGGGGAAAGCATGTGCACATTTGAGGACTGAGCAGTGGGCAGACACCAAAAACTCAGGTGCAGGGAGCCAGGTCCAGCTGCAGCATTCAGCACAGCAGATGGTCAGTCTTGGCTGCTGGTTTCTGAAACAGCGTAGGAATGGGGAATGCAGTCTTTCCAACCTTCATACCTCCTCTGACATCAATCAGCAGCCTTGCTATCATCTGTCTTTGGTCTCTCCAGTGCAGAGTCTTTTTGGCTTGTGCCTGAAGAGTCATACTCACTGGATATTCTGCATTGGTGCTTATAGTGTAACACCTTCCTTTTCTGTCATTCTCTTGACATTTACAAGTTTTCAGTTTGTTTCCATTTCACTTCCAGATCCATGTTTCGGGATATTTGCTCTTTGAGAGATGCTTTTAAGTGCTTTTCCATCTGGTGATCGGTTTTGATGAATCGGTAAATTTTGGTAACCTTAAGCATTACCAAGGACATCTTTCCCTTGTATACTCAAATGCAAAGCTTTCTCATTATCTCCAGATAAAAAATACATGCAAGTTATGTTGTATATATGCAGGCAAGTAATTTGGCCTGTGCTTGGTGTATAGTTTTCTGCATGATGCTTGTTCCTCTGTGCTTTTCTCTTTGATGCTAAACAGAGGTCAGAGGGGAGGTCCTTGCCAGTGAGGAGAGAATGAGTCTTCATCTGGTAGGAAAGCATCTTCTCCCACTAAGGAGAATGCAAAATTGGGACTAAAAGCCAACTTCCCTACATAAACACCTGCCACTGTCCGAGCAATGGATGTGGTACTACTATCAGCAGATGTGATCAGACCATTTAACCAAGATGATCAGTGGTTTTGGGGGGGGGGGAATAATTTAAAAGAATAAGTTATTTGCAAGGCGATTTCCTTCAGACACCTTTTATGAGCCATTATCCAGCAGACAGGGAGCTCCCTGCTCTCAGGAGCTGGATGAAGGTGCTCCTGGCTGCCATCTCAGCACAGCCCCCCCCACTGCAGTCTCCCGTGTCAAGGAGATAACAGGACTCTTGTGTGGGTCCCTTTCTGTTCTGTTTTTTTACAAGAATATAAGGTCAGTGAAGGCTCAGATTACATTCCTGCCAAAGGCTGTGTGACAACTTTTATGTTCACTTTCTACTTCTCTGTTTTTAAATCTTGCTTTTCATCTGCTGCAGTTCAGCTTTGAGTTGAGTGCAAAACCATCTTGGCTAGACAGAAACATTGAGATGAATGCTTTCCACAAGACACTTTTATATTTGTAGATGAAGGGCCAACCAGTTCCTGCAGAGGTGAGCCCAGTGGATTTCCAATAGCGTGTAAGAATTCTCAGTCTTCAGCACCTGAGATGGATGCTTCTCCCCAAATCCCATTTTGGAGGTTTTAGCTCTTTAGCTACTTCCTGGTAATTCAGGCTGTCATTTTAGTGCAACATACAACGTTATTTTTTTAAAAAAAAAAAAGAAAAACAACAATCAAACAACACACACAAAAGAAAAACCTTACAAGAAAGTCTTTAAGCCACATGAGAAAATAAATTGCAAGAAAACCATGGAGAAAATGGCTCAACCAAGAGGAAACAAATGAAAGACTAGAAGTTTTTTTCACTGTGCCTGTTGAGGAACTATAATCATTAGACAGTAGGAAACTCTGACATACGACATCCTGGCTGCTTTCATCAATTTAAAAGTAGCATTTCCCTTTGGTACCACAATTGTTCTCTGCAGTTAAGTACAGTCTGTCATTCTGTGCCTCAGCAGAGAGGACTCTGGTTTGGGCAGACACACAGCAGGCAGAACCTACCAGCAGCCGAGCAAGTTCCACCTAAAATTCTGTAATGAAACACCTTGTTTGTGATACGGAGTTTTGTGGCAGGTGGGAAATTGTGGCCAATTTAAGAATAAACTAAAGTGAAAATGATGGCGTGCAGTGCAGTTGAATTTCTATCATTCATTTTGTGGTTCAGAGAGAAATGTGTTCAGTACCAGCAGCCTGTGGACATAGCTGTAGCTTTTAGTGCACAGAGGGATAAGGCAGACATCTGTCTTAGGCTTACGAGCCTGAAGAATGTCTCTGCCTTGTGAATATCAGTATGTAAGTTAAAAATAAGTAGTGTTAGCAAATGTCAGAAGGATTCTAGCAAAAGGCAAAACCGCATGTACAATTTTCTTTATTCAGGTAATCGAGGGGATGGAGGGGCACTGGGTGAAAAATGATCAGGAGAGGGTAGTGTGAAGGACTAGTGGGAGATAAGGGAAGGGGAGAGCAAGGTGACGGGTTAGAGAAAAGCACAGGGTGACATTGGAAAGGGCAGAGGGATGGCCTGGGAAGAAAGCAATTTACAAAGTAGGAGAATTCAAGAACTGAATATGTTAAAATAAATGGCTTTTGAGTCGAATTCTAAATATTTCCTGCACTGGGCAAGAAAGGGGAAAGTGACAAAAGCAACAAAGCCAGATTTCCATCAGTTTGATTCTGTGCTGCTGCAAATAGCCTTTTTTTTTTCTTTTTTTTTTTTTTTTAAAGATATTTCCTGCACTGGGCAAGAAAGGGGAAAGTGACAAAAGCAACAAAGCCAGATTTCCATCAGTTTGATTCTGTGCTGCTGCAAATAGCCTTTTTTTTTTTTTTTTTTTTTTTTTTTTAAAGAGCAAATTAACAGAATATCTCCATGTCATCCTTTCCACTTACTGCAATGCCTCTGCACCAGCCCTGTTTTCTCTGCTCCTTGCTTGCCAGGACAAGTCTCTCTTTCACATATTTGTGGGAAGCCCTGAGGCTGCTCTCCCCTGGCATTGCCTGCTGGGGGGGCAGATGTGGCATCTTCCTCCCCACCACAGCTGGCCAGACACCCCTCCACGGCTGTGCTGGCGTAATGGGCTGCCTGCAGCGGGGCAGGAGGAACCTGTGTGCTGCTGGCCAGCTCGGCTGGGAGGTTGGTAGCCAAGGGTGAGGGGAGAAGCTGCCTCCAGCAGCAACCAAACGTGCACATTGATGCGGTCCCTTTGGTGGGATGCTGGGCTGAGGGCAGGGAATTCTAGTGAGCTCTTGGGGAAACAGCACTTGTAAATTCATGAATTCATTCAAGCCCTTTTCTTTGTGTGACACATGAATTCGGAGGCATTACACCACTAAAGGAGATCTCTAATTGACGCTGCAAAGCAGCTGTGTTGTACAACAGAGCTTGGCGTCGTGGTGTTTATTGCAAGCTGGAGGGCAACTGGCTTGGGTGTGCTGACAGAGTGGAAAAATACCTGCAGGTCACCTGTTTGGAGTTGTGCCCACCTGGGAGACTCCTTCGGTGCTGCCGGCCATGCCACCTCTGGCCCTGGGGCTGGAGAAGCAGCACAAGCTGTGTCCCTCTTGACTCCCTGGAGTGTGGCTCCTTGGGGAACATCATCAGCTGCTGTGACCTAGAGCAACTTGCTAGGAACTCTTTGGGTTTATGGCCTTGGAAAAATAAGTGACAGAAATATGGAGAAGGTTTAGCATAGCAGAAAACGCAAGGGCTTACTTTCGTCAGACGTGAGTTTTTAAAACAATTCATGTGTTTATTATCTTCATTGCTCTATTACTGCTCTCGAGTTGTTGCAAGCAGAGAAATCCAGACAGAGCCTGAGCCACGCTGATGGTATCGGCAAGCTTTTTAAGGAGCAGATAAACTGCTTAAGTAGTAGGCAGAGCCACGCTGATCTAAATCAATGAATAACTTCTGGACAACTGCACTTTTTTGAAATAAGCTTTAGGAACTAAAAGCAAGGAATTAAGAGGTCACAAAAATAGCGGAGCTGTTTTGGTGCGTTTGAACTATATCAAACTGCTAATGACTTTTTAAAATAAGTCATAATATTTAGCAGATGCATGTTGGCATCCATATCAGTCGCCTGCTTCACTTGATCTGAGTGCTTCTACAGCACTGATTAGCCGATAACGATATATTAAAGCTGTTTTCATACTTCTGTGGAGTCTTGATGTCTGCTGTTTCCCAAAATATTAGATTTTCAGGTTTGTCCTACTCTAAAAACAGCCTTCAGAGACTTAAAAGGAAATATAAGCAACTAAAAGCCATGATTTGCCTAACATAGAAAAATAGTTTCTCTATATGTTTCAGAAGATGTCAAACCATTTTCTGTCACCCAGGATTTCTAAACACTGTTTCCTGTAGTTTTGTGAGTAATAAAGGGAATGAATTGAGATGTAATGACAATAGAAGTGAGTTTGTATTTTGTGCAATTAGTTGAACAGTAAGCACTGCACATAGCCTGTTTTTCATGATTGCCATATTCCTAAAGGGCACAGTCCAGCAAAGTGAGGAGCTGAGATTCTGTAAGTTTCTATTTCTGCAACATCTGGGATATAGATAAGCAAAGTCCTTTGCTCCCTTTCCATCTTCTTTTGAGTATATTATACCCTGTAAGTCTGTGCATCTGCACTTAGTACAGGTAGGATATATACTTGTGGCTGATGGGGACTTGATTGGGTTGCTATACTTTAGTCCCTCCATCAGTCTTAGTAGCCATAGACAAAACATAACTATGTACTGTCTTTTTCCATTTTTGTTAACTAGTTCTGAGGCCTTTTTTTCCGGTCACTTTCCAGACATTTAAAAGAGAATTATCTGGTAACATACCTCCTTTGGTCTCTGCTTTTAAAATCCCAAGGGATAGGGAGCAAAGTGCTAGACCCTATGAGGAGCTTACTGAGGCACAGAGCAGCATGTATAACCTGAGAACAGAGAGTATCTCAACTGCTGCCTTGGGGACATGTGTGACCTCTCGGAGACTGTGCTGGTGCCTCAAATAGATGGCGAGAACTCCTTGTTCTGCCACTGCCCCTTCATCTCCTGGTTTCAGAGCACAGCTCCTTGCTGGCTAAGCAGCCCTTGTAATTGCTGATCTTCGCCGTGATCACCAGCCTGTCCTGGTGGGGTGTGCTTGCTCCCACTGGCTTTTTGCTCTGCCGTCAGTGCCACTGGAAATGAAAGATCTGGGTTCTTATCTCAGCCAATTATTCAGCCTAGGTTATTATGAGTATTTCCTAAAGCTGTTTCGTGTAGAAATCTTCGTGTATCACATACCCATTTCTGCATGAATATGCTCTGAAAAGTTTTTTGCCAGTTGAAAAGGTATGAGGACATTTCCTGTAATTCCTTTAATTTAGGTACCTTGTTTTGGTCTCTGCATCGTCCTTCCTTGTTATATTGGTTTATGTCAACCCAACACTATTACATTTATATTCATGTACGTGACTAAGATTTTTGTAAGCAAAGTAGGTGGCAATTCAGGCTGTTCTCTGTTGCAGGGTTCCCTGCTGTGCAAGCAGAAGCCCAGTTTGTCTTTTTGTCTTTGAAAGATTCTTCTGGGGTTTTTTATGACCATCACATGATGATGGACATGTTTTCCTTCCTGATATCGAGAAATACTGATTGCAGGAAAAGCATTGTTTTTACTTAGATGTGATAATTATAAAAGCCTTTTCAAAATCAAACATAAGTTGGTTGCACTGACTTTGGAGTAAAACAGACTGCTGGTGGATCAGTGCTCTCTCTACCCAATGTATGGCCTCTACATGTAGATTGATATAATATTTTACACAAGGTTATGGTGGAGCCCTTGTTGGACTCGTTATTGTGTCCATGCGTATACTCATATCCACAATAAAGGCAAGAATGGAGGGGGCAATAATCTTCCTTTTAAGTGTTTCTTCCTAGTTGAGCTATTAGTAAAGGATGGCAACAAGCAGGAGGTTTTGATTTATTTTTTTCTCATTGCCATCAGCACAGAGTATGGGCAATTCTAGAATATTTGGTCTGCTGGCTTAAGAAAGAAACTATCTAAAAGTTTGTTAAAGTAGTTCTCAACATATAAAATAGAATTGTTTGCAAATTATTTATGTGTCTTGTCTGTTCTTCTAGGCATGTTTTCCACAAAGCCTGTGTGGATCCATGGCTTAGTGAGCACTGTACGTGTCCAATGTGTAAACTGAACATTTTGAAGGCACTGGGAATTGTGGTAAGTCACCCTGTTGTGAGCTCTTCTTCCTCCCATGTCTGAGACCCAGAACAGGAGGAATAATTGTAGGGGAGAAAGGGAGAGGGCATTCCAGTACCCTTACACAGAAAACGTTTGGGTTTTTTTACCAATTTCTTTGCTGCTGTTGCTGTTCTTTGTTGTTGTTCCTTTCCCTAGTTGGTCATTGGGAATATATTGTTCTATTTCAATCTATAACAATTTCTTATTTACTGGAAGTCTGCTTGGTTCTCTGTAATCTTCCATTTTCTCAATTTCTTTCAACCCCTCTTTGTTAAACTTTTTCTGTGAATCTCTTGTTCTTGTTGTGGTCTCCCATAGACAGACTTAAATTTGTTTACACATTAAAAGCCATGCCCAAGCAGAGGCCGAGCTTTACTCAAGCATCTCATGGCTTATGGGATCCCTGAGAACTGCTTTTGTCGAACAGTTCACAAAGGAATAGAAGTGAAGAACCTCAAAGAGGATTTTTCCCTCTATCCCATATGAGGGAAAAATTATAAGTTGGGAGCAATGCTCTTTTTGGAAGAAAGAAAGAAGGAAGAAAGAGAAGAGCATATGAAGATGCTGTCTAAATCAGCTTTTGAATCAAGCCAGTGAGAATAATCAGGCCTCCATTTTTAGCTGTGTTAGTTGCAAATTTGCACATTTTCTAAGAGACAGTTGCAGATACACCGTGGATGACCTATTTTTGCAACGAATAACATACCTGGATTTTTAGAGGAGGATACTGTAGAATCTGGTGCATGTCATCATTCCTCATGGTAGTAAACTACAGGTATGGGCTATGAGACAGGCACATTTGAGTCACTTTCTTGAATCTTAATTCCGTTTTCTGCTTCTTTCTCCACCTCCTTAAGATGGACTGAAGGAGTTCTTTGGATAGAACTTGCTAATTCATGTTTTTCTCTCCTGTGAGGACAACTGTAGCGGCTGAATGGGGACCGTGTGGTTTTACTTGATGTATCAGTTTGCTACAGGAAGAATGTTCACCGTTTTAATGTGGAATCGTTTGGGTTTTTTTCAGCCAAACGTGCCATGTACAGAGAACGTAGCCTTTGACATGGAGAGGCTCACCAGAGGCCAGCCAGCAAGCAGGAGGTCAGCACTTGGCGATTTTGCCAACGACAGCTCTCTCAGCCTGGAGCCCCTGCGCACCTCTGGGATGTCACAGCTGCCCCAGGACGGAGAGCTAACGCCAAGGTCAGGAGAGATCAACATCGCTGTGACAAGTAAGTTTTCTTTGGCTTCCAGTACCCTTCTGTGGTTTTCCTGGTGTGTGACGCTTGCCCTGCTGCAGCTCCGTGCTGCAGGGCTGTGGTAAAAGATTTCCCTGCGGGGACAAAGGTGACCTCGGTGTCTCTAAGAGGCATATGCTCCGTGTTGAGACCGTTAACTCTAGGTATGACAGTGCCAACACTTTGTTATTAATGGTATATCCATTTAGATCTGCACACAGAGGACACTGGGTGAACTAAAATGGCAAGAAAATAGCCTTCCTGAATCTGGTAACCAGTACGAGAAGCTGGAATGCCAAAACCATTATTTACCCTTTCAGAATACTTTACATGCAATAATTTATACAAATACAAATATTTTAGCTAATTAGCATTTCTGCAGACATTGTTTCCCCTGAGAACATTACTGCTGGAATTCTGACGTCTCTTAGCAGATGGTTTTTCTTACAAAATCTGTGAATTAAAAATAAGTATTTGATGTACCAACATTTGAGTACTGTCCAAGTGTTTTATGACATCAGAAAACTGTTCCTGCACTGCTTGCAAGCTCCTATCCGTAAGAACAGCATGGGAAATTTCCACTCACTGGATTTTTACCTAGGGTTTTTAGTGTATAATAGCACTATAATGAATACAACATGTGTGGAATTGCATCATTTTTCCATATGCTGTACAGTCTCGATTTGATGCACAAATGATTGTTTTTCTGGCTGAATTGCAAAAATAGAATCCATCCTGTACAACAGTCCAATTTTCTCTTTGTATTTTGTTTGTGTGCATCTATGATGTAGATTTTGAGCTTAGTGACACTGTTTGCCACTGATACATGTATAAGAGGCAGTGAAACTGATACAGTCCATTAGAGTGTTTGTTCAGATGCTGCAGCAAAGTAAATGCTTCATTAAAAAAATATCATCTTATGAAACACATAGTCTGTATCCAGAAATGTCCTGATCTGAGAAGGAGAAATCCACATATGAAATCTAGATTCTTTACAAAACCAGTAAGTCACAGTGTCATGCATTGTTTGACATCTGGTTCATCTTGTATTCAGACTGTTGAGCAGAGACTGTTGGTGTGCTGCGTTCCTTCTCATGGCTGGGGAAACGCTGTAGTGTAACTGAAACTTTTCACTCCTTGGTTTTGCAGAAGGTATTTTTACTGTCTGTCCCCCAACTGTAGTACTGCTCTTGCACAGATGGGATGCCAGGGCAAAACAAGAAATAATCAGCAACAGTTCATTCTGACAATGTTTATAAAATAAAGCTTTAGAAAAGGCTGTTCAAATGTTTGGATTTCATGGATGACACACGCATTCTTTGATGCATGAGAGTTAAACCAAAAGCCATATTCAACAACAATGTTTGTATTCAGATCTATTACCATGTGCCAAATTGATCTTGAGGAGGGAGAACTTTGAATAGTGAACATTCTTTAACAGCCGCCTTTATACGACATTATATTTTTTAATGTGTCTGTATATGGTAATGTTGAAATCATTTTTCCATGTTGTATTCCTGTCTATTAAATGGGGAACTCTAGTTATGTTTCACTGTTGAACAAGCTATCCTATTTTTTGGTATTTTTGTTGGGTTTTTTGTTTGTTTGTTTTAAAGTAACACTATAGCATTTATTCAGGAGGAAGGGGGCGAGACACAAGTGTGAAAGTCTATTGGGTGTGCTTATGTGAAGAGCTGCATCTCAGCGAATGTAAACCAACCCCAACAGTCATCTTTCTGGCTGGGGGGGGTGGACGGAGTTGTCATTACATTTTTCCCTTGTTCCTGTGTCTTTCTGGCTGGGGGGGGGTGGACAGAGTTGTCATTACATTTTTCCCTTGTTCCTGCATTTCACTTCACATTGTTAAGTAACCTTTCTTTATCACTAACCCTTGGGCTCAGCCGGGAAATATTGTTGTGCCATGCTTTTTTTCCACACCTCTCTCCACTTCTTCTTTGCTAGCCTTCTCCAGTCAGTAACTCTGTGGCTAACCTCCTTCTGCTTCACCTCCTGGGGCCAGTCATGGCTTAGAAGCCTCTTGCCTTCCGCCAGTGGTGTTTGAGGGAAATATTGGCATCGCTTTGACATAAGCCTTCTCCCACGAGTGATTTCCTCCCTTTCCTTTGTCAACAGAAGAATGGTTTATTATTGCCAGTTTTGGCCTCCTCAGTGCCCTTACACTCTGCTACATGATCATCAAAGCCACAGCTAGCTTGAATGCTAATGAGTAAGTAAATATTCAGATCCTTTTATGTATTTCTGGTGGGTGTGTGTCATGGACAATATTAGGAACGAATACCGAGACAATAGAGAAGTGCGAAAATGTAGTTTTCAAGGTGTCAAATGCCTTTTCTGCTTTTCTCAAATGTAAGTCTCTCTGTTAACAGTAGGTTCCAGGGTAGCATCTAAACTCCCTCTTAATTTATATTTGGCTGGATTGTCCAAGAAAGCCTCCTTGTCAAGGGCAAACATGGAAAGGGGAAAGAGCAAATATTTATATTCGGGTTTTGATTAATGGTCTATGTAAACATTAGATTTCTGCCATTAAATTCCCATGTTCAAAATTCGCCTGGCAGAGCCAGAAATTACTACCATCAGTTACCTTTGACAGTTTTCACCTCAATTTCTTAGTCAACTTCATATTGAAAAAAAAAAAAAAATCTCTATTCCTACTTGGCAGACTTTCAGCTAAGAAAAAAGGTATGTAAATAGAAAACTACCTTTTTGCTCTTAGGAGAGGGAGAGATGAAAGCAATGAATACACTACAGCTTCTTCTCTCTTAAGTGACAAGAGCAGGCCAGTCTTCTGACCTCTCATTTTAGTGTGCTTAAGAATTGTGGTCAAAGGAGTGCTTAAAGACATCCGTGCTTTCCTAATTTTTATAGACACCCACAGTGCCTCCCTGCAGACAGGATGGACAAGAAATGGCTCTAGCACATGACTTCCAATCTTTTTTTTTTTATAGTTCTGTGGGTGGGTGAATATAAATCCATTCTGCAGATACATTAACTAGGTACATCCAGCTATTTTCATTTTAGGTGTGTGGAACATCTGGGCTCATGATATATGTTTAATCATAATTTATTTATTTGGGGAGGGCAAGTGTCAACATCTTTCTTTGTCTCTCAACATCTTGACACAGCTAAGTGTCCATGAAAGGTGCTGATCTCTTACCAAAAGTGGGTGAGATTCAGAGGCAGTCTCCTGTGCAGCCTGGAAATGTAGCTTTATAAATACAACTTCCTTTTTTTGTTTGTTTGGGGGTTTTTGTTTTATTTTGAGACAAGAGAAAGAAGCACTATTTTGGCTTTTATTGCTTTCTGGAAAGCATAAGTGTCCTTCTCAAGAAGATGGAAACATGTCTAGCAGTCTCCAGTGTGAAATTTTAGACACTTTTCAAGCTAATCTTCTTCAGGAGGGGCTACACTAAGTCCTTGGGGGTTTTGATCATCAGGAACCTGTGATTACCACTAATTTGCAAATCTTCCTTTCCTCCTCTTTTTAAATGCAAATTCCAAAAGGGCTTAATGAAGAAAAGTTTTAGAACTTTGAATATCCCTATACAGTCCCCTGATTATGACTTCTGGATTATTTTTTTTTCCATTTGCCAAGATCTTGCCATTGCATCTATCCATCAGCAGGTTGGCAGCAGAGCTGTAGCTGAGCGTAGTTAATCTGCGCTGAAAAACAGCTTGGCAAAGCACAGAGCAAGATGAGTTGTGAAACGGGAATGTCTGCATTTCTGGGCATTTCCACATCATTAGGAAGAAGACAAAGGAACCGTAGCCCATATGGTATCATCCAGATGTGGGCACTGATAGCAGTCCCATTTCTGCCTTGCCTTGCAACTCTGCTTCTTGTTGTCTTTTGCGCAGTGGGATCCGGGTCTATTTTTACTGAAAGGGCAAACTCCTTCACATTGGCAGACAGTTGGGGCCTCCAGAGAAGTGTTTTCACAGTGATGTTCCCTTAGTCCAAACAAAGGCCATGCTGATGTAAGGAGGGCTCCTTTCCCCAGCGATAGGAATGAAAATGTGAGCATATATAAGGGTATACTTTGGGGAAGACTTAAGAAAACCAGCAATCGCAGAAACCAGAGCTGTCAAAAATCACATACTTAGGTAATCGAGGTACCTTCCTGTAGCCTTTAACCTCAAAAAGCTTTTCGACTGAATCCTTTGGGATCTAAGCAGCCTGCACCAGTACTGCTAGGTTTGACTAATTTTTAACAGTTTTAAATATGTATGCATGACACTGATTCTTAGGTTTATTGTTTCACTGACACCTTATGTTCCCTGGTGCCAGACAAAGCATTTCTGCTGTTGAATATCATGCCAAATACATGGCAGCTCCCTCTCGCTGTGATTTCCATTAAATGTCATAACAGCATACCTGCTTTTTAGGCTGTTCTCCGTGTAAAAAGCGATGCTGGCATGTGCTGCATTTGTTATGGGAGTGTTTCAAGAGGAAGCTGAGGGTTTTTTCTTATCAGAAAACAACAGTAGCAGGAATGAGGCCACGTAATATGCTGATGCAAGTAAAAGGTGCCAAATATTCTCTGTGTGAAAAGTCGCCTAAAAACAGGTCCTGATCCTTTTTTTCCTATGTCCTTTCCACAGCTTAAACATATTTATTTAGAGAAATATTTCTAGAGTTGTGTGTATATACATACCTGTGGAGATACGTTTATGTGTATGTATATATACTCACATTTTTAAATAGTTCCTGATAAAAGTATAGATTGTCTACATGATAAGAAATTAAGGAACCAGCTTCTTTCTCTTGTTCTCATAATATTCATGCACTATTACTGCTAAATGATTTAGGTTGTGATTTAAAGGAACAGAAGGAGCATGTTTTGCTTTGCTTCTTGGGGAACGGTCAGAAATTACTGCGTAACTTGTTTTAAAATCCAAAAAGCCCACATGTTGGAGAGTACTTACGAGAAAGTTTTCAATAGCAGATAGAGTTTCCTCAGAAGTTTAGAAGTGCTCAAACCTCTGGCTGACCCGTCTGTTTTACTGCTCCTGTAAGAGTGATGTAAGGGGTGCAGACCTCTTCTAATGCTCTGGCCTTGTACAATTAGTCATTTCTCACTGACTGACTTTTACAGGATTTTTTATATTTTTTTGGTATTGGCAGTATTAACTTTAATATAAATATTTTGTTCCTTTTTTTCTTTTCTGCCCCACAGAGCAGAATGGTATTGAAGAAACGCTTTCCGGACGATTGCCTTGGAGAGAGACACCTATTTTTAAGCATCATTTATCGATCATGCAGCACAAGCAATTATTTAGTACATTCTATTTTTTCATAAAATTTGCTGATGCCAAAGCTTTGTATTAAGGAAAAAGTGAAGAAATAAATAAAAAAAACTTTAATTATGAAATCTTACTGTGTGAGAGTTTTATTTTTCTTGGACTTACTGTGTTAGTCCTTAAGTCTTGAAGCCTCTTGTAAGGTGCTTTATGTCCTTTGAATTCTTTCATCTTTGCAGATCTGTATTGTTCTCGTTTCGTTTTGGGACGGAAGCTGGCAAGTGGAAGTCTCAGGTGGTGCCACTCTTATGATGCCACCCAGCACTGGAGGGACAAGAGTGTTATTGGCAATCACTCTATACCAGCTGGTTAAGGAAAAAAGCTGGGCCAAGCATTCTGGTATATAACGGGCTTACCTTGACTCCAGCTGAGAATTAATTTGAAATAAGAACATTTTCTCCAGTTCTCCCCCTGGTGAGACACAGATTGTTACAGGAGGACTGCAGTGTGGTTTTTGTCTTCAGGTCAGTTGTTGCTGAAGGTTTGCAACTCTGTTTTCTGGACATACAGCTCATAAACATTTTCTGTCTTTTTTTTCACCCCACCCTTCCTTCTGATAAAAGCCAAGTGACTCCAAACCACTTCTTCCTTCCCAAAACCAAGTGAAAAGGGGTAACCTCTTCCCCCACTGTCATCTGTGAAGCCTCCTTCCCTATTAACGACAGGGCTTAGGTCTTGTTCAAATGGAGATGGTGAAAGATCGATGATGGTGTGTAACTGTAAGGTGGAAGCTCTGTGCAGACACGTCCCTTCTTGCCATGGCTTTTTCACCAGGGAGGAGGAGGAGGAGGCAAAACATCTCTCATCCCTGCCCTCGCTCAGGCTGTTTCACACACGTTTCCTTATGCAAGCAGCGCGAGGGTGATTTCACAACAGCCCGTTAAAGCACGCGGAGCTGACTCGCAGCCAAACGCTAATGCTCGAGTTAATGAGATGGGTAGATGAAGGTAACAAATCAGTAAGGAAAATATAATTGATAGAAGTTAAAGCCTATTCTGCCTTGGTTTGTTTTTGTTGTTCTTGTAGCGAGACGTAGACGTTTGAAACTTAGTGCTTTCTAATGTAATTAAATGAATAGAGAGAACCAATTTTACTGGATGATTTAATTTTTTTATGTACTGGGAAACAGAGGATTTAATTTAATTTTATTTTTATGTATAGGCACTTTTAGAATTTAGGAACACAGCCAGGGTCTACATTAAAATATTTTCTTAATTCTTATCTGTCTGGCAGACTTCAGCTGAGAAGGCAGCTTTTATAATAAGAAATGGTGTGATAGCTTCAGTACATTTAATAGAATTATTTTTCAGTGTGTCCTTGTGAAATTTTGAAAGAAACATGAAAACAATCAATAGAGCAGTAAGTGCCATTTGAAAGACTGGAAAACCCCACTGGACTTACTCATGAAGCGAAAAAACCCTCAAAAATACCGTGTCTGAGGACTGTCTCCTTGTGAAATACAGCGTTTGTCAGCTCAGCAATGGTGTCAAAACTGGAGGAATGTGGTTAGAGCATGATTTGGGATACAAGCTCTGAAACAAAAGGGTGACGGGGTTTTTTATTTTCACCCATCTCTCAAGAGCAACAGTAAAATGGGTGAGTTTGTGCTTGTCTCCTGAAACAAAAACTCCCTATGTGTTTTTTAATGCTGTGGAGAGGGATGCACCCAGAGCAAAAAGGCACCACAAACGGTTCCAGTTCATGTTTCTTCTGCAGAGCAGCAGCAAGAGGAGAAGTCAAGTGATGCTCTTGGGAACAGAATGGTTAACAGGGCTTCTAGAGCATTTCCCTCCATAGAGGATGTAAATAACCCAGGGCCATCTTTTTTTAATCTTTTCTTTTGAGCCTCTAACAATTGTCTTGACAAAATGTTAATAAAAATACAGACAGTATCTGCTAGGTTAATTATAGGTCAGGCTAGCAATGTGGGTTTATCCTGTTAATTAAATAAATATATTCAAAGATGGACTCTGCGCCATCCCAGAAACTCTTTTTTTTTGACTCTGGATAGAAACAAGAAGGAAATGACCAAAGTTTTTGTTGCCTGCCATGCTTTTAGCTACCCCCACATAAAAGATGAGTAATGTTACTCTCCTATGCATAATCCTAACAGCAAAAGGAGAAGAGCTGGTCGCTTTTCCCAGATGTTGGAAAGATTGTGGGACAGGGCTGGCAGAGGGGTATATAATAGAGTATATAGTAGGTGTATAGTTCAGTGCCTTGGTGAACTGCTGTCTTGGAGGAAAGGATGCTCTATGAAATAATCGTGCTCTGTTCCTTAACCAGGAGGGTGTCTAAACCAGATTGTCTGAGATAGGGAGTGCTCTGGTCAGATTTCTTCGTTAATAAGCTGGTGTGCTGGAGGAGCTGTGGAGGGATTGTAGCATGTGGCAGAAGGTGGCCCTGATTAATGACTGAGGGCATTAACAAACTTCCAGATGGAGACACCAAGTTATGGTTACTCCTGATGTACCTGCAGTGCTGTAGTGATGCTGTGTCTCTTGCATTGTTGGCCTTGGTGTTGTGCCCACTTCTGTAGCATCCTATGGTGGGTACAAAGATCAATTCCAAGGTAGTATGTTTATTTTCAGACTTGGTACAAGTTATCTGAAAAGTTCTTTGTAAATATATAATGAAGAGTAGTGGCAGAGAGCACTGAAGGACTCATTTTCATGTATTGAAGAAACGCCGAGTTCCCATTTGTTTCTATACCTGAAGGATCAATCTTGATCTTCGTTAGTAAGTGCAAAATAGGAAGGACTGATTCACAAGCTGAATTTGGAACAGTGGATGTTCCTACTTGTCCTTAAAATACATTTATTCAGTAAATTTATCAGCTGGACTGATGCCACGTTTTTAAACAAGTGCTGGCAGCTTCTTGCACCGAGATGAGCATGGCCGGGTCGCTGTGCCCTGCTGACTGCCTCTCTGTCTGGAGATTGTGGGCAACCATACAGACCCAGTCATTAGAGCACCTGAAGATGGAGCCTTGAAAAGCACCGAGCAGCAGCTGGATTTTCAGCACAGGGCAGGCTGCACTGAACGGTAGAGAAGGGAGAGGAAAAAGGAAATGAAAGGAAAATTCTTTTAGGAAATAAAGCAGAAAAGAAAATTCTTTTAGGAAAAGAATGAATGAAGCGTCCCAAAAGTGGTGTGAAAGCCAAGAGATGTGGGTCCGTATGGAAATGTGCAGCCTCCTTGGAAGCAGGCAGCTTAAAATGTATTTTTATTTTTTGCCAAGAATCAAGGAAGCATCACAGTAAATAATTTTAAGGGTGTTGGGTATCTAGTGCCTTTTTCCAGATTAATTTTAAAAAATTTGTTGTCAGATGACCTGTCTGCCTCCTGGTTAAATCTCTGCCTCGAATCTGCTGGAGTAGAAGTCTGGGCGCGCACAGAGGAAATGACTGCCTGGGCTGTCTGCTTCCTAATCCCTTGTTTGGTTTTGTGTAATAAAAACAACAGTAGCACCGAGCTTTTAGAATCCCCTTTGTTTCGTTTCAGCCTTGGCGGTTCAGTCCGTAACGTTTCAGTGGGTGGAGGAAAGGGAGATGAAGCCTCCATGGCTTATTTCAACAGCAACCTGAGGCTCAGTCATAAAAATTAAATGATGCTGACCCATAACACAAATTGCAGAAGAATCTTGAAATTGATTTTATCTGGTATAATTTCAAAATGGATTCAGGGTTTTTTTTTCTTGTTTGATACAGACTCTGATCAGCTGGATATCATAGCTCCAAGTTTATGTTCCCTCAAAGAAAAATCAGCATTTTTCTAATTGTTTTTTTCGTTTAACCTGTAAATTTGGGAGAGGGTTCATCAGGTTCAGAAGCCTATAAATGTGGGTGTTCATCCTCCTCTACTGACTGCTTCTGCAAAGCATGTTCCAACTCTGCAATTCTTCCAAACACCTGGGTATCTGCCACTGGCAGAACGAGCAATTCACCCCTATGGAGCATAACTCTGATGTCACTCTTGTTTCAGTTAAACAAATTAATTTATTTTTGATCCTCTGGTTATGAGAACTTCCCCTTCTCGGTGCGAGTGGTGGAGTGAGTGCGTGTACTGGCTTTTGGTGATAAGTGCAAAATTTATCTTCACTTTTTGCTCTTTCAACAATTCTATGCATTTGATTGTAACTCCTGCATTTTATTTTTCATCCAAATAAGGACGACTTTTTTTTTCTTTTCTAAATCTTTGTCTTTTGGGTGAGTGGGGAAGGAAAAAAGGTGTTTTGGACAGTAGCAGCTGAATTCTTCTTCCCTTATATCTTTTGTAAAATCTTTGTTTCTGAATGGCATAGGCTGGACTCTGAATTTGACAAAGAAAGAAGGATTTAAGCACCTAAATTCTGCCAAGGCTAAAACTGCAGTCCCTTAAGGATCTTGCTCCATGGGTGCCTGAAACCGAAGGCACCTTGGTTTGTTGAGTGCCTTCTTGATGAACTTGGAAGCTTTTCAGTTGCCTCCAGTTTGGCTCATGTGGCTGCCTGGCGTATTGTAATCTCAGCAGCCTTGTTCCCAGCTAATCCCCCCCGGGATCAAGAAACCCAGTAATGAAACGTTTTGGCCAAGGGCCTGATCTGATAGATGCTTTCAGAGAGAACCATTTGTACACCAGCAGGGCTGGGCTCCTTGCAAAACACATCTGTGGGTTTGGAGAGCCACGGGAACACCAGGTTTAACTCCTGCCGAGGAGAAAAAAAAAACATATGAACTTGCATTCTGTGCTCTACCAACAGCCACCTGGTGCTTGTGTTTGGTATCACCAGTGTTTGAGAAGAGGGTTGGGTCTCCTTAGGTTCTGTGTAAGGAAACAACGTAGGTGCCTATTCCTAGAAGGTGACTTTGGGTGGATGGAGGTTGCTGAGCTCTGGAGGAGGTCAGGCTCTCAGCAGCATCAGTCGAACAATCCTTGGTGACCTCCTTGCTCAGCCTTCTTGTTCCTTTCCGCCCCATACTGGAGCACTTTGTGCTGGTGCCTGGCATGGGGACCTGGGTGCCTACCAAAGCTTCCTGGGTTTCTTGAGGAAGCTCGTACCTTCTTCACAAGGCTGTAAATCAACAGCAAG